TAGAATTTTATTTAGATCTTAATAACAGAAAAGGCTTTCCTACATTTTTTGGATATCAAATTTGGAGGTTTTATGACACACAAGTGATTTTGTAATGTTTTGACGTGTAAAATATCTGATTTTACGTTTTGGACAGCCAAAAGCATTAGAAATATAGAAATAAATCAAACATTTAAATTTGATCACTTTTTACCGGTTAAAGTGAGGAAATTCGAAATCACGATTAATCAAAATTGTGGTTCTTTAAGATTTAACGAAAAAGATAGTTCTTTCCACTGTTTGCCCGCTATGGCTCGTAGCAGCAATCTGACACATGTATTTTCTCCCATTAGCTTATCATTGATGCGGGTAAGGGGTAGGAGTAACTTTGATATTTTATGGGGAAAATCACATAAGTCACAATAATTGTTGAACTGTAATGTTTACATATATTAGGGCTGCTCCATATTGCTTGGAATTAAACATACAAATTTGTTAACGAAATTATATGGGGTGTTTTTAAAGTTCCAAATTTCCCGTTCTTTTATGGGGTTTTATCGGAAAATCACTAAAGCTTTTGAACCATGGGCAACTTTTTAGAGCAATGGGGATTGTACCGTGTATACTAAGTTATGATCAAAATAGATTGGGCGGGATTTTTTAACTGATTTTTCCGTCATTTTATGGGGAAACACTATTTTCAAAATCACCATAGTTTACAAAATAACTAAAACTCCTGAAAACACTATGGATTAGTATCCAAATGCCACATGTCATAAAAATCTGACCACTGGGGACCCGAAACAAAAATATATATTTCCATTATGTATATTGCTGTCCCTGTACGTTGAATGGTATACATAGTGTTCAAAAGTTTGGCAACACCTAAACTTTTTTTATAATTAACGCGTTTTCAACCATTAAATGGACCATTAGCTTAACTTCCTTCCCTCTACACTACAGCTGTGAAGTTACCCATGTTAAAACCCTATCATAACCAACTGGTTGAGTATTCACTTCTGTCTCTTAACTCTTATACTACGTAAAAGTTCACTCACTTTGAGAGGCTCCTATATCGAGACGAATCGTCTTTTTTCAGCCGGATTTGTGGCAATGCGTTTCTATAATAATGACATTCAAAATTAGGTATAATTCTTTTTATGTTTACATTTAAGATTTTTTTTGACTCCCCCTAAGGTGAAAAAATACGGTTTAAATTACAAAAATGTCAGTAACTGTACGATTTTACTAAGAAATTTAATAAGTACTGTCTTATATCATAACTCAAAATTAACTAACCTTATTAATTTACCTTTTTTAAAGAACGATAACAAATAAACACATTATTATAAATTAACAAATATTGATAGGCGTTATGAAATAAACTGTTCTTACACATCCTCCTTTTTAAGTTTGATAGTTCTTCAACCGTTTGGTTTCTTCACATTAAACTTAGGACGGTTCAGTATATTTTTGTTTGTCGTCTATTCTCAAATAAATTTTGTTTACTGTTTGCTTCGTTCCTCCGTGGGATAAAATGTTTTTAAAACAAACCTAAGACTTTATCAAAAGTTAATGTTGTTGACATCTTTTTTTAAAAGATGCAAAAATCTCACCAGATTTTTCAACTAATGCTTATACCAGCGTGTTGATTTGTTTTTTCTCAGACTCTTCAAATAACCCAGATGCCGGCTGATATCTTTGAAACTGTATTTTCCATCTTGGCCTGCTGGTACAAAGGAGAAACTAATTGGAGGTTGAATAACTGAATGTGTATTGATTCAATAATTGACTTGTTAGGTGAATTGATGTATTCATTTTCTGTGCTTCTTTCTATGTGTCGTTGTTCATTTTTCTTCATAGTCAGTTTGTTTCCTAACGTTTCTTTTTAGAAGCATAGCCTAAACCACTGCCACCATCTACTATTTCGCGAATAAATTGAATGAATGCCCTGTTTTATGGTATAACCCAAATTAACTAACTTTAATTGCTTATTATTATTAACTTAAATTCAGGTATAAGAAAAATTTCCTTATTCATACTTCTGACATTGATTAGCTGTAACTCTTTTCTATTTTTAGTTCTCCTTCAACATAACTGATGAAACGCATGTCCATTATAAATACATTTGTTTGAATTAAACTCTTAAACTGTAAACTAACTTACACATTCGCTCAGGTTTAATCCATACATATTTTTTTATGAATTCCTGCACAGAATATAGTTTGGTATATTTTTAATAAATGGTTTAAACAATATTCTAGTACAGTTTGAAAACTTAAAACAGCCTGGATGAACACGGACAGTTCTCTCATATATAAATATTAATCGAGAGAGTTCCAACTAGGATTAGCAGATTAGGCTTGACTCAGTAGTTAGTTGGTCGTTCCGAGCTAAGCTTTGCCATAAAGAAGTTTCATGTGGCACTAGACTTTCTGTATGTTCAGCTTATTATAACTAAATGTCATAACAAACAGGTTCAACATAAATTATTTATATCTATAATCTACAATAGTTAATTTCGTACCAAAATCAACCAATGATAAATTTACCATCACAATAATGTATTATTTATTAGGTAAATAGTCCTTAACATACTCATAGTTCATTGAACGTATCTCATGATTAAATTATTTCTTTTAATTAATGCTTATATCAATTCCTTAGACAGTTGTAAGATCGTTGTTAATAGGATAAATGTGGTGCTGGCACAACATTTGAATACTTTTTCTAGAGTCCAAACTGTTTGATACAATTTTAGTTGGCTCGATCATTTTTATATACTATTATAAGCTATATGTAATCTTTTGGGGTACAGTAGGAGTAATTTGTTATCAGCTATGTTACCTTCCTTTGTAACAAAAGCTTCATTTTACCTTTAAATAACGAATGTTTATTTAAATATATATCATCAAAAAGAAATTTTCTGCTGTGTGCCACGGAAAAATAGTGGTTAACAACTGCTGTGTTGTCATATATTAATTAATTATTTCAAGACAATCAAAAACATGTTCTCCTGTAGGAGCTTTAATTACTTGTTTGCTGAACCTTTTATTAGTTTGGACCATGAAAAAAGTATAGAATGTCACTATTGCCTTTAATCCGTATTCAACCTAGACTTTGGTCTAAACAATTTAAAGTATTAAACCAATGTTAGAAATACAGCCAGTGTCATTGTTTTTATGATATTTTAGTTTTTACAACCGGTAAAAATATGTTTTAAGTGCTCTTAAAAGCTCTAAGAGAGAAATAAGAAACCAAATTACATGTAAGAACAGAGAAACGCTTTCAACAATTTTCCTTTCAAATATCGAAATAGGATTTGAATCTTTTATTATTTAAGATTCTGGCAACAAACTTATGTATTACTAACTTATGGGGCTTAAGTTGCAATTATTTTTCTTTTTGAAGTAAACTTTTATATGTGTTACTAGATATCATGTATAGACCCCAAAAGGCATTTGAAACATCGTGAAAAGGAATTATAATTTAATAAAAATTTAAGTTAAAACGTGAAAACTGAAACTAAAATACATTCACTTTATTGACCTTTCTTGAAGGCATTTTACAATTATCCAATCCAGGAAACTGATATTCGTATTTAAAACAATCCACACATTTTATTCCCCATAATTGAATGCATAATAATATTGTCTAGTCGGTGTTCCTTTTCTTTGGTCCTTGCGTAGATTTTGAAGCGTACAAATTTGTTTTTATACTCTAGCAAAGCTCCTTTTACTCTTCCTTTGTTATACTATCACCTATACTCATTATTTGTGAAAATGTATTGTCTTTGTAGCTATGGATCTGCGTGCAAGAGGATAAAATGTAGGTTTATAGTAATCTATATCCGAATGCGTCTCCAATTAGCATTATTAATATAAATATGTTTTTGCTACTAAAGAAATATTTTAGTTTTTATTCTTCGTAATCCTCTTATCTCAAGTGTGATATTACAAGAGACATGTAGAAAAAATTAGCTTGGACTTAAAAACACTTTTAATATTCCGTTTAAATTTTGACAGGATATTGATAATTTTCAGCTTAAATAGTTCACTTTTTTCTCAGTATATACAAAACGAACATATCTTCAGTTTTTAGAGAAAAACTAAACATTGTACTGAGATAAATTTTCGTATAATTTTCATTTTTTGTTTACATTTTTTAGGTCATGCTTTAATTGTTGTGAGGAATCATTTTAATGGTAGTGTTAAAAATTATTATAGCCCTATCTAAAATTATTCATTTATTTCAGTCCACTTTTAATTGTAGCTTAAATTTACAAACGTTTACGAATGTTTCATGGTTGCTTGGTATATCTAGGAAACAAGTGGAAAATTGTTCTTCTCATTTTGATAAATTTATCAATTAATTTAAATGCTAAAATTTATCTCGGTTGATTTAAAAGATAGACGAGAGCATTATGTTCATTGTCCAGTTTACACTGAAATCAGAAAAAGTCGAAACCTTGCACCTCTTGATGAAATGGAATTATTGTTCAACGAACATAAAGATCCTGTAATATAATTTCTTTAAAGTTGTTAAAATGTACAGTAAGCCTTAAAATAAAAATGATGTGAAAAAAACTTGTTTAAAGCGGGTAAACTCTGAATTAACGGGTTGTGTAAATTGTAATTTTCCTCATGATATTCAAGCATGCTATTTATTCGTATATTAAATACGAATTATTAATATACCTCAAACAGTATTTTACTCATTTTGCTGATGGCATCAATGTAGTATTTTTTTATATTAAAATAAATCTTAATAACAATAGTTTAACTTCTTGCTTTTGCCCATTCCCATTGATCTCAAGTTCTCTGCATTGAGCAAAGCAAAGCAAAGTGCGAGACGGTACGGTAAAAAAATCAACGTGATAAATAGATTTATATACTTTATAATATGACACGGTTGTTTACATGTTTCGGCTTGTATCCGTCGTTGTCAAAACATTGCATTTGGATGAAGAAATCCTTGTTTACTAAACATACATGGACGGGCCTACTGATACCTATTACAAAATGCACTGGCAGGACGCGCATCTGCCAGGTAAAGGCCAGGATGCAGATAGCTATTACAAAATGCACTGGCAGGACGCGCATCAGCCGGGTAAAGGCCAGGATGCAGATAGCTATTACAAAATGCACTGGCAGGACGCGCATCTGCCAGGTAAAGGCCAGGATGCAGATAGCTATTACAAAATGCACTGGCAGGACGCGCATCAGTCGGGTAAAGGCCAGGATGCAGATAGCTATTACAAAATGCACTGGCAGGACGCGCATCTGCCAGGTAAAGGCCAGGATGCAGATAGCTATTACAAAATGCACTGGCAGGACGCGCATCAGCCGGGTAAAGGCCAGGATGCAGATAGCTATTACAAAATGCACTGGCAGGACGCGCATCAGCCGGGTAAAGGCCAGGATGCAGATAGCTATTACAAAATGCACTGGCAGGACGCGCATCAGCCGGGTAAAGGCCAGGATGCAGATAGCTATTACAAAATGCACTGGCAGGACGCGCATCAGCCGGGTAAAGGCCAGGATGCAGATAGCTATTACAAAATGCACTGGCAGGACGCGCATCAGCCGGGTAAAGGCCAGGATGCAGAAGCATCCTGAATGCAACCGAACTTACGATTTCTTTCTGTTGATGAGGTTAGTTTAATGCACTAGAGATGGTATGTGCAGATTTATCATTAAAACATTCTAAGATATCACGGAACCCATATTTATTATTCAACAGTATATATTTGTTTGTTTACGTGTATTTTGCTAGTAAAATATATCCCTCTTTAAAAAATCTTAAACTTATCAAGTAATTACAAATTAACATACACCATAAAAACTTATCCAGTAAATAACAGGGAATAAACAAATCCTCAAAATAACCGATGTAAAATTTGCTTATATAAATTTGGATTTTTATATATCGGGTGTTTTAAGGTAATAATTAGGTATTTCTAAATGATAGATTAGTTTGTAAGTGGTTTTTATGAAAGATGGTAGGATCCATTCCAATCGTCACATCAACAGTATCGATTCCACGAAGAGTGTCGATGGCAGCCCCATTAATAGTGGTTTCAAATACTGTGTAAGTTAACCGGATGTATTTTTCAAGTATTTCATTTCATTTGATTCCATTTGAGCTATATTACTTAATTATTCATAAGCCATAAACGTTGTGAAGTTTGTAAATTGAGAAAAAGATATTTCCTGAAAAAAATGTAGTTATATTGAATCAATTAAATTGATTTATCAATAGTCAAAATACTAAAAGCCCAGAAGACACACATGCAGAGTTTGGTCTATGAATACTGATTCCTCGGACCTTATATTTAATTTGTACAGTAGTATGAATCAGGACTACATTTTGACCTACTAGGAGGTCATCATCAGGTGAGTTAATGACTTCACATGAAGGTCATGAGGATTAAAAATTGTTGACATATAACACAAATATGAACACAAAAACATAGCGCACATACACATGCTGGTTCGCGAACCCGTTCGAACAAAATAATGTAAGTTGATACATCCATATTTCATCAAAATTTGGAACATTTTTGCTCGAGTTTTTCGTAAAAACTAGATTCCTTTACATTATTCTTTAATTTATTATAATGATTACTTTATTTAATACGTATGCTTTACAATTACACCAAGACATATGACCTGAATCAGCACATTAGGATCTGGAGATACGCCAAGACTCAGCATCATATCAGCACCCCTACTGAATATAAACAGATGATACATGATTAGGTAACCATTTAGATATTTAGAAAAAGGTGGATATGATTTTCAAATGGGAGTGGTGGATACAGCTTGAAACAGTAGTTCCAACTAAGCTGAGCATTAAAGTAGTGCCATGTAACAGTGCTTATCCTGCCTTCATCTTATTATTAAAAATAAGCCTATCTATATAGATCTCAAACCTTTTAGAACATTACAAAAGTAAATAACAAACTTCTTTGAACAAATATTAACTTAGTGTATTTAGAGTGGTATCAAGTTAATTATTCATGTGACGTATTTTAAGTATATTATACGTAAAGTATTTTACATAACAAAATTAAACTATGATTTAAAAGTATTCAACCATTGACTATACAAAGAACTGAACAAACGAATTAGAGATGTTAACACGATTTCAGAGTTATACGATTAAACTATTTGTTTGTTGATATATTTTTTTAACTATTGATACTAAAATAAGAGTGAAAATTCTTATTGGGTATAGTTTTATCAAAATTCCTAAATAAATGTTGTGTTCCTAAAATTCTGTATTTAATAATAGTTTTATGTATTTTTTATACACAAATACCAAGTTTTATTATAATAATTCCAAGGACTGATGGGTATCATAGCTGGTGATGTGTGATGTAAAATGAAATAATTCGAACGGTTCCTAAAACAGGGATATAAGAATATAATCATAAGAGCATCTGGCGAGTTGATTTATTCGAATTCGCTTGAAGTACTTTTTACACCGTCGTCTCTACTTTATGTTGTTTACATGTAATAAAATTCTTTTTATATATAAGTTTCATACTTATTATATCCTTAGAGTACTGTAAAACAGATAATTTAAAATCAACGATCTGGCATTATTCTCAAAGTATCATTGTGCGATATGCCGAATGAATTTTACTAAATGCAAACGCCTTTATGTGAGGGAAAAATTGACTGACAGGAAACTTAGTGGTAGCTGCTATTTTATTTGATATTATTTCTTGTTAGTAACGTTTATTTATAATATGTTCATTTTTTCAACCCAGAATCTATATTATTAAAAGAATTTGTTGGATTTTTGTGTACAACAAATCGATCCCTAAATATTTATTTTTAGGCATATTGGGTATCAATTTTAAGCTATTTTCCTCTAAATTTGCCTTTCGCGGGTTTGGATGATGAAAAAGCCCATAGTCAAAGAGTCTTTTACAATTTCGGAGTTTTCGCTAAATAATGTTGTCAATCATGTGAAATGTTTCAAGTTTGCATTTGTTAACATCAAAACAAGAAAGATGTCCGTTACACAATTTTGTTAACATTCCTATTAGGTTATCTGTAGTTAACGATGTTTCAGTGAATTTAAGTAAAATATGGTAATGCTTATTTGTATAAATGCAAAGGAAAAAATGACCTGCGTTGGTTTTTGTGCTGTAATAGTATATTGTCTTTTCATAGTATGTTTTGTTGATGTTTTAGGGAGTTAAAGTAAAATAATGTAATGTTATTTGTTTAAAATATAAGGGAGAGATTTTGTGCTTTCATATAATGTTTTGTTTGAATTTGTAATTTTACTAAGATGCCTCGAAGAGATCGTGCACACAATGACATAATAGGGTACCTACGCAATGCAAATAATAGGAATATAATGAGAAATAACCGTTTTCCCTCTTATCATCTATATATCACGCAATTTGAAGTCACGAAGTGACGCAGGCTGCTAGTAGACATTATGAATGTTTGGCACAGAATAACATTATTTGTTGGCACGTATAACGAAACCACCATGAGACTTATTTATTTATAATGACTCCCCACGGAAGCTTAGCAATCTTTTAAATGGAATCAATAAAACTAAGCTGTTTCTTTTTAAGTTCACTCAACAAAGCAGAATTGTGTTAATGGAAGCATTCAGACCATAATGCTAACGAAGATAATTGTTTTAACGTTAGTGTCTGAATCAGGTTTTGTATAATTGTCTTCGTACGAGATTGTCTGTTGTGTTAATGGGTTATTGATGTTTGTATGTATTGTTGGTGTTTATGTATATTTTTGTGTATTTTTGAAAGCAATAACAGGATACCATTTTTTCATTCTTTATTTTAAAACTTACTAGGACATTGTAAATAATCTAAAAAGTCTTTACTAGTGTCATGCAATTTTGATAATTTATTGTTTTAAAATTAATTAATTTAGCGACTAAAATAGATTTAAGAAAAATAGTTATAGTTTTTGAACAAGCGGGCTGTATTTTGTTTTATTTACATTATGAATCACTTACTGTTTTTATTAATTCTTCTTGAAGTTAAATACAATAATGTTGTAGTGGTTTTCTTGAAAATTTACACTTTTTCTTATGGATCTTCATTTCAGTTCATTTCATTCTGTCTTTATTTATTTATCTTCTTTACAGTCACAAAAGTCTCAGATGTTGTTTTAATAGATTTAATTGTTGAGCATTTTTAGAGTAGTTAAACTGCTTGCATTCTAACAGTGTTGCCAATTTTAATAATGAAATATTCTTTTTAGATACAATGTGATATAATATAATTTGATGTAATAACATATGATAATTTAAATATTGAAATGAATTGTAATTTAAGCTTAAACAATAATAAATTGTAAAAATAAACATTGGTAATGCATTTTGATTAACTTATTTTTGGAATAATTTAAATATGAATGAAATAAAGAAAACTAATAAATACTTAACAACTAGATAACAACTAATCTTAATCAGTAACAATACTACATAGGTTGTCGAACTCCATTCTAAACTAACTCTACATTTCAATTCAGTTGAAAATGCGTCGCTGTTTGGCATGAATGGCACCAACAAAACAAAAAAATTGGCTTATGAAAATACTCAATAAACCTGGAACCCTGGTTATTAGTTTCTTGTGATATAATAAATAATTAAATAGCTTAAGCTTAAGATCTGAATTAGCCTAAGCTTAAAATCTGGAAATGGTCCTAAAAATGCAGAAAACTGTCACCAAATCGGAAACATTTCCTACGCCAATCCAGATAATGAAGTCAGATTCACTGGGTGATGGTCTAACATTCAATAAAACATACAGTCTCAGAAAAAAAATGTTTATCTTTTTTATCTTTACTCTTGTGATGGGTACACAAAAACGATTCCAAAATCCTTGCCATTTTACAGAGAAATGCCTCACTGTTAGTCATCATTATGATATAGTGCACCGTTAAAGGAAGAGTAACCACAGCAAATAATGAGTTTTCTCAATTCCATACCATTCAGTCTATTTGCCATCAACCCATGTCACTGGAGGCATGTTTAACCATGTTATATGAAGTTGACAAACCCACATAGCTTATGAGACGAGTATAATAACGACCCCCGCGTTTCTTTTGTGCACGCTACAATGGGGGCTTGATTGCCTTTACTGAACAACACTGAATGAGCTTGGTACATGTTGTTCAATAACAACAGCATGTGTTCCTTATATGACTTTGGACAGAATATGTTATAGCTTTTGTCAATAACAGTTCTTTGAAAAACAAGCCTGTGAAATCAAATATGTATAAAATGTACCTATTTTTATATCATAATAATATACATTTCATAACAGTTAAAACGTACCAGATATTTAAGTTGCATTGGGTTTGTTATTATAAAGTAAATATTTTTTAATTGCTCAACTAATTATGAATTTTTTTAATTCACTTTTGAAAATTGATTTATGGTTCCAATCTCTTCAAACACTTACAATAATGCTTCCCCTTTAATTGAATGTATTTTTTAGTTAGGCCTTAGACATTCTCAGAGGCTTACACATCTTTAATTGCTCATTTAACACTTAAAAAAGTTTGTACTGTTTTAATACTTTTACAACTTTTAATACTTTTACGTGTATGTTGGTCCA